TGTCACGTAATTTAGAGGGTCAACCCAGGTTTGGTGTTCCCACAGCATGCCAATGAGAGCAGAGGCGATTTTAATGCCGGTCGCTTTCTGAGTCGTTTGACCGGGTGGAAATGTGTCAGTAAGCAATTCCCACTGCCATTAAACACCAATTGTTGCCGGGTTTAACAGGTTTTTCGGCCAGTGTGAAAGGGGTATAGACGCTCGTTAAAATCGCCTTTGCTCTGATCGGCATGCCGTGGGAACACCAGAGACGGGTTGACCCGCTAAATCATGGGAAACCCACGTATGGATGTCAACAGAACACACCAGTCACGTCTGATTGTCCAAAACAACCCTGTTTACATTCTATAATGTAAAATGGTGCCGTGCTGGTGAGAGGGATTTGGACAGATAAAAGAGCAAAACAATAAAGCACAAGGACTACGCTCTGGCTTCCTTACATGTTGCTCTCCATTATTTACTTTTTTAATTTCTGTCTCACTGGTGACATTATCAATGCTAACCCACCATGATGATGTCACCAGACACGCAACTGCGGGTGGACAGAGGCCATGTAGCTTGGTAGCCAGAGCTTAGACCCAGCTTTTTTTGCCAGTGGGAAGGGAGCCAAATAGCGATTGTTAGCGGGTCGATCCATGTTTGTAAAACCCGGGTTAACGCGTTATTTTCAGTGGGAATAGATGCTCAACGCAGCACTTTGCAGATCTTCTCTCACAGCTGCTGTTTAAAATTAAGTTTGTTCCAAATTAAGTAAATAAGAAATTCTACTGGTTCCACAGGCTATTTACGAGATAACCATTTACACTGTCTTTGTCCTAATGTTAATCTCCATTTGCACACTTTTTCTAGCTTCTCTGGTGGTGTTTGGTTGTAAACATTCCTAATACCTATTGTATTTTTCTGTAAAATATATATTTTTTTCAAATTTAATGGTCCTTATTTATTATTAATTATTTCAAGGTATTTATTTCACTTTCTGGAAATATTTTTCTCTTTTGCTTCACAGCTTGACTCTTTTACCCCCTTTCGACTGGTTCCTCTATATCTGCCTCTATCTCTCCCAACCATTTCAAAATGTTTTCATCCGTGCTTTTTAGTCCTCGAACTAGGCTATTTTGGCCCTGTCTAATGTCTGGCCAGACACGCTCTTGAGCCCTTATAGGTACTAAAAAAAAGTGATGGGAGGAAATAGAGCCGGGTCAAGTGGGACCGATGAACAAGGGGCAATCATACTTCGCGATCCACTTTTTTTTGTGTTTACATTACATTACATTGTTTTGTTTTTCATTATCATTTATTTAATCAGTATTAGACTTGCACTGGTCAATCAGCAGGACTTGGAAATCAGCTTTTTTTCACATGATCAGCCAGGATCCGTGACTGGTCTGATCATTATGAAGACCACTGATAGTAAGCACTGGTCATTGTGCTGTTTAGTTTTGTGAGTGGACATGCAGGTTTCTCCTTTACTAGGTCCATGTTTGTTTTGGTCCGAGTCCGCAAAACAGGAGGACAAATCATCCGACAACAGAGGGAAGAGTAGACAGCATTCTGAGCTCAGACAGTAGCAGACGGAATTGGTGCGAGAACACTGGCAGAGGATACACCATAACCCGCAGCCAGTCGCACTGCCCTACTGAACTAAGGAACCACCGCAGTACATGTAGCTTATAGGAGACCTTTGGGCAGACAGTGAATGGATATAAGGTAGTTCAAGAGGATAGCAGAGGAACACAGTGCAAGTTCGGATCAGTCCACCCGGGAAAATGCACCAGGGTGAGGAGAGGCTACAGTTGACCGGGTCTATAGCTAAGCTACCTGCAGAGAGTCAAAGGAGAACGACGAAAGATCAAAAAAGTCTGCAGGACTCTGAGGATGGGGGAGAGGCTACTGCTGACCGGGAGTAGGACAGCAGTACTTCTGAAAAACCCACCAGAGACGATAAGCAGGCAGAGGTTACGTCTAGCTGAGGCTACCCTCTACAGGCTAACTCAAGAGGTAGGAGGAATGACAGTTGGTGATAAGAGTATGGTGACCAGATGTTCCCGATTTCCAGGAACAGTTCCCGTGTTCGACCAGGGTAAAGCTGTCCCTTGAAATGACCCCAATTTTACCATTTTATGAATGAAGATGTAAATGTTGTGTGTAATTACCATAGAAAGAGAGCGAGAGCATGCTGTTAGCTAGCTGGTCCGCAGCTGTTAACGTATAACTGAGGAGCAGAGCGCACCAATAAAAAAAAAAAAAACTAGGAAGTTAATCATCACATCTGGATGCAGCTGCCCTGTGTTATTGTGAATGTGTTAATCGGTTAATTTGATTTGAATTGGGCTGATCATTATGATAAATGTTTGGTTTGTGTCCAGGTCAATAAAAAAGGGCTTTGATGTGTCTGTCTTACTGAAGATGAGGACCAGAAATGTAACATTAACCAAGCTTATCAAGAAAACGTACTGTAAGACAGACCGTTGAATGCAACTGGCATGAGGAAATAGACACATATAAAATTAAACAGAAGGACTGAAAACTCCATGTAAGACATTAAACTGGTATGGTTTTTCTCCAGTGATCAACAAGGGTTCACCAAAAGATGTTTGTAGAACTTATGGTGACCTTTAGTTTATTTCATCATATAGTTATTATTATAGTTATTCTGAGAAGAGTCATTAGTTGTTTGGCAGTTTTATGGTTTTGATTTATGAGTATAGACTTCCAGGCTTACAGTAGGTCTACTTTTTATCACTGAGATTGGATATATGAGTTAATAAGTTCCTTATTATAAAAAAAATAAGAGGCAGTAAAATGAGAACTGAATGAGACAAGATCTGCATGATTTGAGAATGATGAAGAGATAATATGTTTAATATTAATTTGTTAGGGTTGTTTGTAGCTCCAAATATTTTGGTGATTAGCCTTTTTACTATTTAATCAGGTGAGATAACAACAATAAATACAGCCATAATAATAATAATAATAATAATTATTATTATAATCCCTATCATAATAATCATAAAATGTATGATGAGATTATATGTTTTTGGAAGGGATTTTTTTATTGTATTATGTCCTTGTTTTAGATCAGTTTAATATTGATAGAGGAGGAAAGGAAGAGGATTAGAAGATTGATAGAAAGAAGATCGAAAGAGAGCAAAGAAAAAATCGGAAAACTGATGGAAAGAACAGCTGAAGAGAAGGGAAAAAATCTACTTCGTAGAGTAAAACAGAGAGCAGGCATAAGCTACACAGAAAATAAGATGGAGAGGGAAGAGGACAGAAGTCTGAATGACCAGATGGCACAAACAAACACTATTCATCCATTCATTTGATTAATCTTAGGAAATAGGAGAGGCACATTCCTGGATTTTACACTTGATTTTTGTTGTTTAAATATTAATAAATACGTAAAAATGGATGTCCCCGTTTCCTATTTTAACTTTGATGAAATGTATTTATTTTGATCTATGAGCTGGAAATGTCCCCAAATTGGATTTCAGAAATCTGGTCACCTGAACATTGATTAGACATGAATATAGTTTTGTATTTCTCACTTTACAATATATTGCTGCAAAAAAAAAAAAAATACAGCGATACACTGTTGCTTATAGTCTAATGTAATCTGATGTGTTATATGAATAAAATATACTAACAAAATTAAGTTTTATTAAAATTGTAGCAAAGCTATGTAATTGCATAGTTAATAGCATGACATTTTGAGAACAGCTACATACAAACTATTTTATTGCAGCATATGGGAAATGCCTCATTTCAAATTAATTTAAATCAGATGTATTTAGCAATGTAAAACATTTTGCATAATATTTTTGTTCTCCCTCAATAGGCACAAAAATAATGTGCGCTCTAGGGTTGAGAACTGCTTACACAAACTGTATGGGTAGATTAAGTTAATATGTTTGTGTCATAAAATGTGTGAGAATTGATTAAGCTCGTTAAATGAGCAAAGCTTTTCTCAGTGGAAAATTTTTCCAGGATTACAAATAAGGTGTCAAGGGATAGTGGGGCGGGGGAGTAGTGGTAGGGATAACCCTGGGAAATTGGATTCTGTCTAGATATCTAAATCACTTATTAAATGATAATTGAATATTGAATATCTGATGACTGTATTTGAAACACAACTTTGGGATGGTATAATAGCACTATGAACGGATGAAAAAAAATATTTTAATTGTGATGAATTTCTTTTCCCTCTTGTCAAATGGGTTTAAAGGCAATGTTTTCGTTGGGAGTGGCTTAGTGTTGGTGGGGAGTGGCTGACTCCTTCGCACATTTGCCTTGTTAATCAGCGGGACAGTCAGGTCAAGCAGAGCGGAAGGTTGAACTCCGATATCCACTGTACTACATCAGGCTTTCTAATTGCTCCTTCTGTGGAGAGTGTCCGGCTTGTCTTCTCATCCCAACGCTCAGCAGAGGAGTCCGGGTGGACAGCAGGCTCGTTTCCTCCCCCCCAACTAGTTGTTGGAGCGATAAACTTCTGAAGAGGAAAAAAAATAGCCATACCTGAGCACGCGTCCAGTTTTGGCTTCAACTTTGCACGTCTTGCTGCTACTTTCTTACTGTTTTTCTTTATTTATTTGCGTCCGAGGGGAGGGGGAGTTAGGTGGACTCGCGCGCACTCGCCGGTCTCGTGGCTCCTTTGTATACAGCAGCAGCAGCAGCTGTGCGTAAAGCGCATGTTTGGCGCACAGCGTCCGCCGCGCTGCTCCGTGAGGGACAGCTTCCTGGGCTCCGTCCAAACTTCCCGCAGGCTTCCTCAGCAATGAAGCGGCTGATCCAGGTGTAGAAGAGGACTACGGAAACCTTACCTGTCCCCCCCACCCCGTCCCCTTGCTGCCATCTTCCGTCTCTCTGCCGCGCTTTTTCCCCCTATCCATCCATCCATCCATCCATCCTTCTATCCATCTCTCTCGCTCTATCTGAGCGCTTGGATTGTAAAAACGGCAGAAACAAGCAGGCTACAACTGCGCGCGGCTGCCTCGCACAACATGGATGTAAGGTTTTATCCCACCGCCGGAGGGAATTCTATCCCCGGAGATCCGTCAAACCTGGATTTTGCCCATTGTTTGGGCTACTACAACTTCAACAAGGTGAGAAATGCCGCTTTTTTCTATGCGCTTCTGTTGGAACCATACGGGCACTTTGTTGTTAATTCGATTTGCCACTTGTTTAGAAGTTGCTAATGGATCACTTCCCTTCCTCTCTTGTAACTTTGGCGCTTGAGTGTCGGTAAGGGAAGCAGCAGGACAAGTGTAATGACGCAGTGTTACTTTTTTTGTTTGCCCTCATTGCACTACTAAACTCTGACCACAGGGATATCAGCCACAGTCACGGGCGCTGTTGCTTTTAGGGTTTCATGTTTCCCAACATCAGTGAAGGATCATTGCATCAGCACCCTACATTACAGTTACAATGTGATGAAAAGAAGATACTCTGTATCAAGTGTCAAATGAACTGCTCTCTCGCATGACCCCCAGCGTGATGCAACTAAACTGCATGGTATAGAAATATTATTTTTGCCCCACAGCTTGGTGGAAGGTGTCTTACTCGATATGTAGTGTAAATAAATGGTTATAATGTTGTTGTTTTTTTTTCCAGATGCACCTTTAAATAAACTATCTTGTATGAATTCACTGTTATGCTTTAATGTAATGCATGATGTCAGCTATGGTTTTGTTTGAGGGTAAATATTTGGAGAACAGTTCAAACTATACTGGTAGATCGCTGCAAGGTTTTATTTCAGAATTGTTTTTAAGTTATCCGCATCACTTTTGATGTGGTTTTGATTTTAACTGACAGTGTTTTGAAGCGATTGGTCCATTATTTTTAAGACAAGATACACAATATACTTTATCTACCAAGTAGGGCTGGTAGATTTATCGATAAAATTGATGAGTCAAATTATATTTGGAAAAATAGTTTAGAGGGAAATCAGTTTATCACTTAGTAGAGTCCTCATAAGTGATAGACTGCCTCCCTGTGTGATTCCTCTAGCTGCAAACATTTAGTGTTGTATTTTGCTTTTTTTGTTTGTTGTGAAATGTGATTATTGTGCAAGCATGTTTCACAGCTTGAATTTTGTCGCCCTGTAAATTAAGGTCACCTCCCAGAGGGAAGGATGGAAATCACAGCTAGTCTTTGAAAGCAATTTATATCATTTGTCATTTTTAGTATGAAACTTAAATGAGGGGGGAAAAAAACAAACAAAAATGTAATTGGATTTGGAAAAAGTTATCTTAACTTATAACGCCTAGCCCTATCAGTTATAAATCCCTTACCTATTGTGAATAGATAAATGATCAAATTTATTGGGGCCATACAGATTGAGGTCTAAAGTAATATTTATAGTAGCAAAGCTAGATTTTTGACTTAAATTTCATTGACACCCTTGTAAAGTCAGTTTTTAATCTCAATTGGTATTTCCTGGTTAAATAAATAAAAAACAACAGAGAATCTATGGAAGGAGGAAAAGATGATGGTGATGATACAGAGGCCTTTTAACCTTTTAAGACTTGGAGCTCAGCCTGAAACATGAAATCTTAAAAAAATAAAAATAAATAAAACATGATGAAAAAAGCAAATTGTTGCTTTTAATGCTTATGTCTTTTTTTTTATTGATCAACGACAAGGTTCCTAATGATTTCTGACACACTGTGATTTAATAGAATTGAAATATAAAACTTTTCTGGTTCTTTGTGATGATTATTCACTGATTTTAGGAGATTTCCTTTTTTATTTCCTGCTATAAAGCTATATATCACATGGGCTGGAAGAGGGTTGGGTTCATACTGTCTAAGTTGTGCATCGCTGGAGTCGAAGTTAAAAAAATAAGTTTCTAGTTGGGATATAAAAGTATTATTAAGCTCTTTTACCAACACTAGAGACAAGAGTCCTAAACCTGCTGCATGTGTTTTTATGATCATTGAACAATAGTACCACCTACATCCCCCAACACATCCCCTCACCATGCACACACACACCCCCCCCCCCCCCCCCCCCCCCCCCCCCCCCCCCCCCCCCCCCCCCCCCCCACACACACACACACACACACAAACACATCCATGCACTACCCCCACCCAAATTATTCAGCCCCTTTGCTGCAGCTCTTTTTGCTGCTCAAAAACAGTTACCAGGTTTGTCTCACAGTTTCATCAGCTCTTTGTCGTGTGGCCAAGTTGTCATACATGCCCAGTTTCATCATGTCTTCGTCACCCAAGAAAAACTTTTACCCTTATTTTGTTAATGTGCTGTTGTGATTTTTTTTTTTTTATAACTGCTGCTCGTAAATTCCTGAGGTCAAGAGAGATTTGTTTCCATCTGTATCAGTAATTGGCCACAATGAAAAAGGAGAAGTGTTGGTGTGAAGGTGCTTATTCAGTATCTTTACCCAGTTGGGATGGAGGGAGGGGGTGGGGAGTACAAAGCATGCGTTCATGGTAATGTGCAATGCTAATGTTACATCGGCTTGCTGAAAGGTAGCACAATGCAAAGCGATTAGTCATCCAGAACTGAAGCATTACTTCTTTAATCTTTTTATAAGATGTCACGGAACCTTTTTTTTTTTGCAAACAACTAAACTTTACACTTATTATTTTTTTACAGTTCTGATAGACACAACTGTCTTAAAATTCAGGCCTGGGAAGTGTTCAATTTTAATGGCACCGGAGTTATAAGGGCCCAGAGGCACTTTGAAACATCAGAGAATCTTTTAAATTTACAGAAACATCCAGGACGAATGGCAGAAACTTAATTAGGTGCTGCAGTCATGACTAATGAAGCTGCAGATTTCTTTTTTTCTTCCTTTGGCACAGAGATGAAGGGAAGACAGAGTTACTAGAGGGAAACATGTCACATCTTTACTCAGCTTATTAATGGTCTTTTAATAAATTAAAAAGGACAAAATAATGTAGGATTAAGATTTGTATTTAAATATAAAACTCAGGTGATTTTTTTCTAGTAGGATTTGTATCAGAAGAGCAATTTTCTTTTACTATCTAAGTATAAAACAAGTATATAATCTCAATTTTTAATTTGGAAGGTAGGTAGTTTTCAGCATATCTGATAATGACCTACTTTTTTTTTCATAGCTCAGTTTATGCTCCTATTACTTGTTTTTGTCAAACCATTTAATGAGGTTCCTCTTAAGACTTAATGAATAAATGAATGTAAACTATATGTTTATCCTTTTTTAAATCTTTATTTGTTTTTGTGCTTTGTTGTTTTAAAGATGTATTTTTTTACCAAGCTGCTGAAGTTTTGTGGCGTTTCCAAAGAACCTCTTTGTCACTCAGAGAGTGATTGGGTTTGACTGTTTTTTAATTCAGTATTAAATGTGGCTGACTTTACTGCATCCATGAAAGAGACTCCGTGTTATTCTCATTTTTATGGCCATCTGGTTGTTTTTTTTTCCAAGGATTTAATAATGTTTGAAATACTGTATCCATTTATTGCTGAGCTTTCATTTGCCCCAGGCGCCAAGAAATTACCAACAGATGTTTATACAAACTTTTCACCTGGACTGGTCCTCACTTTTCAGGTTTATTTGTAGAACGAATGCCAGCTCTACTGGAGCAAAACAATTTCTTTTTGTACCTAACTTACCATGCATTCTTTAAATTGCTTTATTAAGGCAGGATGTAAAAGAAAACCTTGACATATGGCTCAATAGCTTTAATGCAGCTGCAAATGTATTTAAACCCGTTCAACTTTTTCACATTTAGTCAATTCATTGAATTTGATTGGTATTTTATGAGAAATATCAAAACAACACATTCCTTAATTGTGATTTTAATTCAATGGGATAAATAGTTTAAACTTTTCACAAGTCAGAAAAAACAAACATGTGCTATGTACCTGTATTTGACCCCTACTTCAATACATAGAAATAAATATAATAATATATTGAAAAATCACCTTATTACTAACGTTCCACTCATTTGTTGTAGGAGACTCTGCAAGCATATGAAAGAATGCTGTCCAGTTTGATGGGAACTTAGGGAAAGTCAATGGATGTAGAGAAAACTTTGGGAACTGTTTCAAAATCTTTGCAAGTAGAAGGTAATACTGTGCAAATAAAGGCAATGATATACAAAAGCATTTACCGAACAGATAAAAACACTGGAACCATAACAGGGAGGTTGTAAAACTTATTGGACCTGTTGGGAACAGAGAAGATTAAAAACTATTTTTTTGAAAAAAAATAAAAAATAAAATAAAAACTTGTGAGTTGCTGCTTAACACTTAAGCATTGTTTGGAGATTAATCTTACAACACTAAACATACAGCCAGAGCTACAATGGAATGTTCAAGCTCAAAGCAAACTCATGAGCAAGATCTGCTCAGTTTACGTCCAGGCCTAAAGCAATACTTAAAAAATCTATAGTGACGGACAACACTTTGTTACATTACTTTTACACAAACCCTGTTTTATAGCACTTTAACAAAAGTGTTAGAGACTACAATTACTCATGGGATAAAACGTGTTAAAAGTATATGTCTTTTGTTATAATTAAACAGTGCACCTATCCAAAGTAAAATTGAAGCTGCCTCATATTATCATAGCTGTAAGGAAAAAAAGACAAAGAAAAGGAGTTCCTCAGTAAGTTATTAAAACTGGCTTTAGAGTGAAAAATGTTGGTCAATAGACATTGGTCAATAAACAATCTTGCTTGTTTTGGTTATTCCTTCAATAGAATAGGAAAAAAAATCCCTTTACAATAAAAAGGAAAAAAATATATAATCTCCAAATAAAATTTTTCGCACATTTGTTTTTGTTTTTTTTGTGTGGACTGGTTGTTTTTGTGAATTTGCTGCTTAAAACTGCAATGAGCGTGTTTGCTGCAAGCAGATACGACAGTTGCTCTGTTGACAACATAGCAGGTCAAGTTGTGTTTGCTGTAGTGCTAAACTACACAAGCTGTTACCATCGTTAAGCACAGCCATTAACCAAAGCAAACAAATAAAGAAAAATCACTTTGGCTTAATAAGACGTTTTCTCCCATGAAAAGCTACTGAAAGCAGTTCCAATTTGCTACACTTCTTAAATTTCCTTCAAAAAAATCTAGATGATGTTCAGGACTGAATTCCTTTA